TACTATAAATCATAAGTGCGGGCCCTTCCCGGCAGCGATCGCTGCCAGTACTTGGCTGGAGGCAGCACACACACAGAACACATTATAACGGCGTACTATAAATCATAAGTGCGGGCCCTTCCCAGCAGCGATCGCTACCGGTACTTGGTTGGAGGCAGCACACACACAGAATACATCATCACAGCATACTATAAATCATAAGTGCGGGCCCTTCCTGGCAGCGATTGCCATCGATTTTTTATGGAATTCTGTCGACCTTTGTGGTCCGGTCAGCGGTTCTGTTGCGGGTGCCTATCATCCGTAGACGGCGGCACGAATTCTGTAACACTTGGTTTCATTCTGTAAGGCTGTGTGGATTTCTGTAGTTGTCTATGCTGACGTCAGTATGGCCCTACCCGTTTCTGTAAAACGCTTTTTTCTCTGTGGCTCCCTCATAAATTCTGTTGATTGTACAGAATTTTAACGGAGCCAAACAAATTCTGTTGGGGACGGACAGATGGGGCCACCTCTAGAGCGGATGGGCGGCCCAAGGCATGCACAGTCTGAACCCCATCCCTTGCACCGCTGGGGGTTGTCACAGCAAAATCGCACGGGATACAACTGATCGGGTCTGCTACATTCAGTCGCCCTGGCCTGTATTCCCACATGTAACGAAACTGCTAGAGATATTCTGACCAGCGAACCTGCCTCCTTCCCAACGTCTGCTGGCTATCTAAGTACGTGTTTGGACAATGGTCTGTCACTAGCACCATGTCCGAGCCTTCTAGGTAGCATCGTCAGACCCGAAGTGCATGCACCACACATAGAAGCTCTTTTTCTGTGATTGAATAATTAAGCTCTGCTTGACTGAGCTTTCTGCTTTCAAATGCCAGAGGGTGCTTGTCTTGTAGTAGGACAGTCCCTATTGATGTGTCACTGGCATCTGCCACTACCTCGAAAGGTTTATCAAATACCGGCATACGCAATACTGGTGCATGTGTCATGTCCTGTTTCACACCTTGGAATGCTTCCTCACAAGCGTCTGTCCACTCAAAAGCGTGGCCTGCTTTTGTTAAATCTGTTAATGGTGCTACTCTCTTTGAGTAACCCTGCATGAATTTCCGAAAGTAATTTGCTAATCCCAAGAACTGGCATACCCCCCTTACGTCCTTGGGTCTTGGCCAATCATTGACCACCTGTGTCTTTTCGGGGTTCACACGAATTCCATCTGCTGATATGATGTGTCCCAAGTACTTGATTGAAGTCTGATTAAAGTGGCATTTATGCAAACGTGCATAAAACTTTGTGCCCTTAGGACCTCAAGGACCTGCCTGATATGGGTTAAATGCTCTTCTGCATTCCTGGAAAAGATTAATATATCGTCCATATATACAAGGACGAACTTCCCAATATAGGGCCTGAATATATCATTCATAACGTGCTGAAATATTGCAGGTGCGTTTGTTATACCGAATGGGAGCACTTTAAATTCATAGAGTCCCATCGGTGTTTTAAAGGCTGTTTTTTCACAATCTGATTCCTGTATTCTGATCTGATAGTACCCCTGCATCAAATCCATAGCGCTAAATACTTTAGCATTGCGAAGTTGATCCAGGAGGTCATCCACTCTTGGAATTGTGTATTGGTTTCTGATGGTTGCCTTGTTTAAGGCCCTGTAATCTATACACATTCTAAATGTTCCATTGGGTTTCCTGACAAATAAGACAGGAGCCCCAAATGGACTACTGCTTGGTTCTATCAGCCCTCTTTTGAGTAAATACTCAACCTGCTCCCGCATTTCTTCTAGCTCTACAGGACTATATCTAAACATTGCCCTATTCAAAGGTCTGGTACCTTCCTGCAATAGTGTGGATATAGCTGCTCCTCTATTTGGTGGTAATCCTGGAATACTATCTGGGAACACATCAGAGTATTCATCCAACAATGCTTTCAGGCACTGAGGATCGACCTGGTATTCTGTGGTTTTGTCACTGACCGGTTCTCGAGGCGGAGGTGGGCCCATTTCGGAGTCCGCATCTGGTTCCGGTCCCTCACGTTCTAATGTTCTAGCCATCACAAAACAAGATGGACAACCTTTTCGGACACTGCGCTGAACCTGAATGTGGGTTAACAACTTTGAGTCAGCTCGGTTCTCAACACGTGCTACAAGGTTTGTTTATAATACCACACACCTGGCACCCTGTTGTAGCGAACAAGTTCGTTCCGTGTAGTCGAACACGGCCTTGTTTTCAATGAGCCACCCATCTCCAAGAATTAAATCAAAGTCGGGTGCCATGCTCATGATTGCACATAGAAGTTTTGCTCTGTAGCTCTGTATTTGAATGGGAACCAATACTTGTCCTTCTATTTGATCACTAGAACCATTCGCCATGGTTACTGTTTCTGGTTCCTGTTCCTCAAAAGACAATCCAATCTGTTTACAAAATTCCTTACTGATATAATGCATTCCTGTAGCACCTGTATCAATCAAACATCGAGCTTTTGAAACTTTCCCCTTTAGCCCAAGGGTAAGCCTACCCTCCTCACTTTGCATTGCTGCATATACTGATGGAACTGGTGGATCGTAATACACCGTGACACCCCATGGTATTCTTGGTAAGTGTCGCCGTTGTCCTGATTGTGTAGGGCTCGTAAAGAGTACTTGTCCCTTATTATACTGCGCAACCATTTGCATCCCCTTTAATTCAGGGATTCTCAACTGTCTCCAGTTAGGCACCACTATGCATGCACTAACTGTCTGAGGATGTTGCTTCTTCTGTTCTGCATAATGCTTGATGAATTTCTGTATACTGTTGAAAGGGGCATTGAGCCATACATGCTCACCTTCAAGTTTTCTGGTGAGAAAATCATCCTCACTGCTATAGTACCATGCACATAGTGCGTTCTTTCCATCTGGGTTAGCACACGCGTCCAATGCAAATGCATGGCCTACTCGTTCTTGTATTTTCTGAAAATTTGCAGGCAATATAGCCCTATCTTGATTACTCGCAGTACTTGCATCTGCGCCTGTTGTTCTTGTGTGTCTGATAGGATTACCATCTGTATGGTCCACAATTGCAACTGGGTTTGTAGAAACATGTTTCCACCCTGATGACTGCACTGACATGCTAACTGTTCCACTGGGTAAAGCATGCAATGCAGGTTCTAATATTGGCAAAGGACCAAATGTTTTGCTCACTGGAAAGTTCGAACTCTGTGCACGTACCATATCTCCTATAGGGAAAGGTGGTGCGCTCCGCTCTCCACTTTTCACTAGGCACTGATGTCCTGGTGTATAGTTGGCATAGCAGAAGAAGCAACGTCCTGTGGTTCGCAGCCATGCAAGCTTCGTAGTATCTGCACTGAGTCCTGGGTTGAACAAAGCCTTGCCCTGGTGAACTGAAGTAGAAGGATCCACCCTCTTTCCCAAAGATTGGGATCTGGTCACTGCTGGAGATTCAAGTCGGGCCTGCTTCGCAGGGCGTCCTGTAGATCCCTCCCCTGTCACTGGTAGGCCCATAGCCCCTGTGGCCAAGTACCCCATGGGGCGCTGGCCAATGACCGCTGTGCTGGTTCCTGGTGCTGTCCCCTTGGTCGCTGCAACCTGGCTCCGAAACCAATGTAGCGTGCAGTAGCGCCAAGAGGGGAAAAGAAACCCCAGACCAGACTCCAAGACCCATTAAGTACTGCACCCATCTCTCGCAGTACACCGGCTGGCGACCGGCGGGTCACTCTAATCCCTGATGACTCATCCACTATTGGATAGTCCTGTTACAGCGCCAAGTACTCCAGTACTATGCCCTGCCTAAGATTCCCAAGGATGGGATAGTTTAGAGATGCCGTTGCCAATCCAGGCACTCTCCTAGTAAAGTACTGGTGAAGTGATAATAATATATACTGTAAAGGCGGTGCGCATTATAGCTTGGGAACGCTTTGGGCGTACATTCTGCCTGCGTGACGGACAACAACGATTTGAAGGGGTACATGGATGTGCCACGGGGGCGAGCAGTGTGCACTGCCAAATCCATCAAAGGCCCAGGCAATCGCACCCCACGTCCGCCATGCATACTCGTTGCACACTAAACCAGGCGTATGGCCGTCCAGTCCGGGAACGGGACCCGCTCTGCGGCGATCATCCATCACCTTTGCCAAAGTACACGCGTCCGTACTTGCTCCGTGAACTTTGATGGAATTCTGTCGACCTCTGTGGTTCGGTCAGCGGTTCCGTTATGGGGGCCTGTCATCTGTGGGCTGCAGCGCGGATTCCGTAACACGCGGTTTCATTCTGGAAGGTTGTGTGGATTTCTGTAGCCATCTATGCTGACGTCAGTATGGCCCCGGCAGTTTCTGTAAGACATTTTTTCTCTCTGTGGTCAGCTCACGGATTCTGTTGATTGTATGGAATTTTAACGAAGCCAACCAAATTCTGTTGTGGACGGACAGAGAGGGCCACCTCTAGCCGATAGTGACCGGTCCAGGCGCATCACAGGAGCGCCGGCTCCTACATCACAGCCCAACAGAACCCCCGAGCCAGAAAAAAAATAAAAAACCATGCTGAAAACCGTGCCGAAAACTTGTGGAAAAGTTAACGTGTTGCTGAAAAATGTCAAGAGAATGCCGATGAACACAAGAACATGTTACGTCCAGTTAAAGGAAACTGTGCACATTGCCGGCAATCCATCAATACCCAAACCCGCAACTGTTCCCGGAGTAGGTGGCGGGAGCCCCCTCCGCCAGCCCCCATGGCGTTCAACTTCGGCGCGCCGTCCTCCTTCGGCGCCTCGGGCTTCGGCTTCGGCTCCGGCACCACCTCCGCCTTTGGCGCCACCACCTTTGGCGCCACGACAACAGGATTCGGGCTGGGCACCACGCCCGCCGGCCCCGCCTTCGGCGCCACGGGCCCCTCATCTGGCTTTGGGGCACCGGCCTGGGGAACGGGATTCGGATCGGGGGGGGGATTTGGATCGGGGGGTGGTTTTGGGGGGGGATTTGGGAGGCCGGCGGGTGCGATGGCGGGCGCCATGCCGGGGGCTGCGTCCGGGCCTCGCGGGGAGTTCAACGCGGCGATGAGGACGCGGGACGGGCGGCCGATCTCGTACGGCACCAAGTGGGACGAGCTGAGCCAGCCCAGCCAGGAGCTGCTGCTCAAGCTGGAGTGAGTTTGGGGGAAGGGAGAGGGGGGAGGGAGGGGGGGGGGAGATTATCGTGCCTTCCATGTTAGGAGACTGGATATCCTTGATGATCGCATTGGCCCGTGTGCCCGTGAGGCCAGGAGCTGCTGCTCAAGCTGGAGTGAGTTTGGGGGAAGGGAGAGGGGGGAGGGAGGGGGGGGGGAGATTATCGTGCCTTCCATGTTAGGAGACTGGATATCCTTGATGATCGCATTGGCCCGTGTGCCCGTGAGGGCGAAGAAGGACGATATGCGCCTCTGCATGGCTTGTCTCAGACTGATCATGTAGATCTGATACCAATGCAAGTCGGAATGATTTGGAGACAGTGGTGTGTTGTGTGCGATAGGGTGCACAGCATCCTGTCCAAAGGCTGTAGCGGGGCGCGATTACTGTTGTTTGTGGTTGTGTCTTGTTGCTTGGGATTGCTTGATGCGTGGATTGTCTGTGCAGTGGGTTGTAAATCCTGTGATTGTGTTGGTGGAAGAAAGGCAGGAATGCCGCTCTTGAACAAGCCAAGGAGACGATAGATGCAATTCCATCCCCAACATTCGGACCAAAATTATTGAAAAGTTATTTTCAATGGGCTGCCTCTGAGCAGACTGAAGGCAGGCATGGCACCGACCATTTCGTAGCTTCCCGCCTGCACAATATCCTGTGCAGCATTGGGGTCAGTTTCCTCAGGCTGGAGATAATCCACATGGGTGATCGAGGTTGAGCCTTTGGCCTTTGTCCTGTACACGAAATGTTTGTCCTTGAGGATGCTGTTCACTGGCGTTTCCTTCTGAATTCCTGGCAGAGCTGAAATGGTGAAAATTCGGGGCGTCATTGTGGAACTCAAGAACTGCAACCGGCTTCATGATAGCAGGGAGGTGCAGGAGGTGAGCTCAGCTTGCCCCACAAGTGTCCACATACACTCCTGGTTTGAATATTGTGGAGGGATTTATGCATGGACTTGGATAGGAGGATGAGAGCCAATGGTTTAATTGCAAGTCGATGCTGCTGTGATTTGGCGAGCTTGGTGAAATGGTATTCTTGCACCCGCTATGAGTGAGCATGCAACCAATTGCTTAAACTTGCACTGAAGGACATTCGGGGCACAGGAGCCACAAAGACGATTTCGGAGGTCCAGGGTGGTGTGGAGTGCTGTTGATATCCACAAATGTTGTTTCTTATCAGCACTAAAACCAACCCCAGGTGCTAAAGTTTGGCTTTCTTGCCATTGGCCTGTCATTGCCTGTATGGTGCTTAGCATTGAAGTCGTTGGCTCTAGTTCCAGAGCGGTGCGTGTTGATGACCAGTATGGATTGTCACACAGGAGATTGAAAAGGACATTGGGTCATTGCGCCGCTCCCTTCATGGCTCAGTTGAGCGAGTTCAAGTGGACAAAGAAGTTGCCAGTGGTGTGGAACAGGTATGTCAGTACAGGAGCTGCTGGCTCTGTGTTTTTGACCCCTTTGTTCAACCTGCATGACTATTGCTTACTCACATGTGGAGCTGGCTGTTGCGAATTCGCACCATAACAAAAACGCTTTATTCAGATGCATTCACCGTGGAGAAGCTGTTGGCGTGATGGTGATCAGTTGGCATGAATACACAGGGTGATACTCAGCATGTGCAGCATTGAATTGGCAATCGATTAGTGCTACTTTCTCTGATGAAGTTTCTGTGTAGTTTGTGCACCCTTTCCCCACCCAAAGTTTCACTTCTTTTTGCAAGCTGGCTCAACTTTTGGATTCCAGCAATGAGATAACATTGTTGGCAATGGAGTTTAAAGAATTTCACTGGCTGTGCTCTGGTGAAGATCCATTAGAATGACCTCCAATGGACAAGTGGTGGGGGGCGCACAAAGAAAGAGCACATCAATAGAGCCCAAGTACCCTGGAATAACCAGGACATACTGGGTATGTCCATGATTCGTCAGTATAATGTTGTGAGCAAATTGTGCACCAAGGAAGTATGTTGAATATCTGCATTCCATTAGGTCGAATAGCAGGTGTGGAACACTTGCAGGAATGCAAAGGTTGGGTGTAAATCTGTTTTGCGCAATATTTAAAAATGTGCAACTAATGTGTGTTCTTCTGCTAATATGTGAAATGGTGTCTGCTACTTGTTTTGGGGGCAGAAAGTGCAGCAAGGATTGAGACAAGTGCAGAAGGCCGCAAAGCTGCTGGACAGGGAGAAAGCCTGGGAGAAGATGAAAAAGGTGACAATTGGGGAGAACTACCTTGGGCACTGCAGCTTGAGGCACGGGCTTGCATTGTCGATCTCAACCGTTTGGACTCTAACTGCAAAGTTGCCATCCTTCGGTTGTGCTGGATGTGATGCTGAGTTCAGTGGTGTTGGCTTCCAACTGCTGGTGTCCAACAGCTCACTGTTTTGAAAACAGCTACTTACAGTGCAATGCAATCCCAAGTGCAATTTCTTTCTACTTCTGCTCCTTGGTGATGAATTTTTCTGGGAGGGGTTCGCCTGGATTTCATTGACTTATGGGTTTGGGCTATCTTGCACAGAGATTGTGCCTTGTGAGTTTGTGGAGGAGGGCTCCCGTTGTGGGGAGGAGACATGCGTGGCCCTGGTAGTGGCCACCTTACATTCTTGCGGCTGTCCTAAACATGATTGGCATACCACGGCGGTGACATGCACCTTGTTGTCGTGTCACCATATGTAGGAAATCTTCTTCCTTGGTGATGAACTGTCAGCTCTGCGTGCACCACGGACCGTTGTAGCCATCCTGCTGCTGGATTGTTTCTGAACTGCACCAGTTGTGCTGTATTCCACGGTTATTTTGATTAGCTGTGATTTGGGCTTGGTAGATGAAGCACTCTGCTGTCCAGGTGGCAGTGGAGGCAGTGTGAGCCACAGGACACTTTGACAATACTGTGCAGCCCTGATGAGGATTGTTGTTGAACAGAAAGACAGCAAGCCATGCCAACTGTTGCATACAGGAATTTCAGCAAAACTCATCAGGGAGTATGTACTCTAGCGAGCTCGCTGCCCCAGTGGTGCTTCCGAACGAATACCTTGCGGAGGCTGTTGGCAATTTCGCCCAAAAGATCGACATGCTGCAAGCATGGGCAATGGAGCTGGAGAAATTGGTTGTGGGAGCCAGGCCAGGGGATGGCATCAAAGATTTTCAGGAGTCCTGCAAGAACATGCACGACTTCTTTGTCCATCTTGGGGCAAGGGTGGAGGCGATGGCAACAAAGGCAAGTGATGCTTGTGGTGTCCAAGCAACACCTTGATTGCACAAGGGCAGTGGTTCGTAACATGTGATGAATGTACCCAACGGGAAACATTATCATGAATCGCTTTGCTGGTCATTGTGAACTTTATTGCTTTGGCCGGTGTTGAATCTGGTAACAATTCAGTGCAGCGCTTTATCATGTTGCAGACAAGGGAACTCTGTGTTATCTTGGCCAAGGATGTTGGGCCATAGAACAAGATCCCTAAGCAATGCACAGCGCATGTTCAAACTGTCCAGCCCTTTGTGTCACAGTGTCTTTTTTGCACCAGCTCCTCCCTCGCACATTGGTGCACTTCCAGTTTAGATGTTTGAGTGCTCACGCGCGTTCCCGATGCAAACACTGAAGATTCTGATCGAGCAAAACTGTAAGAGCGAAGGTCACAGTGCTGTGCTGTGCATGATGTACTCGGGGATTTCTACTTCTTATTTCATATTGTGGCAGAGAATGTCCAATTGTTTCTTCTAGGCTGGGCTGCTCATCGTATGGCTTGTTTCTCCAATTGATAGTCATAAACATGTTTGTGTATGACGTCCAGTACAATGGTGGGAATGCGCATTCCCCATAGTCCCAGAGCTTGGTGTGGGTATTGATGCAAGATTTCTGGGCCAGGTGGAAATTGGAGAATGCGTTTTTTGTGCGCATGTTTGTGCCTCAGTTACACTCTTGCCTGTACACATGCAAGACGAAGCCGGACAATATGTCAACGTTCACCATCGGACTATAATGCAGAAACTACAGACATCGCTCCGATTTTACACACATGCAAATGCCCCAGAACTCACCATCAGCAGAACTGCAAGCAGTTTTGTCCCGCTCGCTGGCCCATTTCCCACACTTATGAGAGCTTGTATGTGAGGTCTTGCCAGTGGACTGGGGTATCAGACATCCATGCATTTGCAGCTCCCCGTTTGCTGCACACTCACCACGTAGTAATTTTCAGTCAGGCATCCACTTGCTGATTTCTTTATCTCCCGTTCAGCAGCGCTTCAGCCATTTGACAAGGCATTTCAACCGTACGATTCGCTGGGCCTCACTTTTTGGGTTCTATGAACAAGTGCTGCTCAGAGATTGTTGTGGTGCTTTGCCGCGCTGTTGGGCATAGCTTTGTTCCTGCAAAGGTCCCCACAAATTTTGTAAGCATGTTCTTTCACAGGTTTGCTGTGCTGTGCTGTGACACAGGTTGGCAAAGCCAAGGACGCCTATTTGATGACAAGGCGGCAACGAGGGGACTGTACCAACCCATTTGAGGAAGCTGACAATGTGGAGAGATTGCGAAGCGAGAGGCACTCATTGCTTGTGCGGCCGCACTCTGTGGCTGGGCCATCTGGGGCTGGCGGGCAGATGGCAGGTGAGGTTGGATGACAAAGCAACTTTCTTGTTCAGAATGTTGCAGTCCCAATGTTTGCAAAGTTTTGTGCAGCTCTCCAATGAGCATATGTGTGTGAAAAGTGCATAATGATGAGGGTGGCAAAGCCTCCGAACCCTCCTCCCCAGATCGATGCAACTTGGATCATCTTCATTGCTTTTGTTCATCACACATCTGCATCAGATTGTCCTCAAGACAAGAGCTGTGTGGGGCAAAGTATGCCCAACATCCGAATATGAATCACAACAGAACTGTTTTGTCTTTTCTGGACAAGGATCTCAATGAAGAATGTTATTTATCTATGTTTACAGGATTTGCTCATTCATCATGGGGCAAACATTTCATGCTTTGGGGTGGACTGCATCAGTCCACCCCACAGTTCAATGTTCCATGTCCAGTTTTAAGGGCATCTGCCAGAGTGTGCTGTGCAAGTTGTGCAGTTTTCTGATGCACTGTCTATGCCTATGCAATCCACAACTGCAACACACTGCAGTGTAACATCCTGCTGAACAAGTTGAATTGTTGCTGTTGTAAACGATGAGAATAGCGATCAGCATCGATATTGCCTCCTCTGTCCCATATTGCTTGTCACCTAACTTTGGCACATTATTTTTCCACCTTGAAAACTTCGTTTTCAGTGAAACTTCGTACAATGTTATGCCCATGAGCTTGAAGTATAAGGTCGGAAATTCAAGTCAATCCATTGAGCATGGTGGACTTGGTGCCACGTCACAGCAAGGGTCTTCTGCCTGTAAACCAAGATTCTTTCACTCAAGAACGACCAAAAAGTGCTTTTCACCCAACTCTCAGAGGGGTTGAGGTTTCTTGAAAATTGGTAGTTCAGGGGTTTGGGACCGTATCTTATTCTGGCCTCTTTTTGTAATTTAGATGCCACTTTTACAACGAAATTTTTCTTTCCAATCGACGACAACTAATATCGGACAGAGGAACTACATCTAAAATAACAATCTTCAGCACAATGGTCAGCACATCATGGTCGTTGTATCAGCTGCCCTTTGCATCTGCTGTCATGCTGTGACTGTATCTCAACACCCAGAGCCTCTTGCTTTGTCTTGCCCTGGAACTCTTCTCCTGAAATTATCACCTCACGGTGCGGAACAAAATAGACAGAGGGCGATGAAGGACATGTCCCCACCAGCGTGTTTGAAAGCTCAAGAAGAGCCAAGGCCGGATCCTTGCAATGGAACCACATATGCATGTCCACCTCATGCCCACAATCCTTTTTTGAATCGGCATGGACTATATCCATGTCAAAAGGAGAGGTCAGTGCTGTTTAGCTTTGGTTTGGTGTGGCTGTGGCACAACAAAATCAGATTGTTGCTTTGCTGTCTGTCTAATGGATTCTTTTCGTTTTACACAAACTCGCTGCAGGCCGCCGGGCAGGCCCCCGTCGTGCTGTTTGCCACATCTAATGCCACTTTGTCTGTTCCACCCTTCCCCCAGCAGGCTCCCAACCACAGGCCTCAAGCACCTCCTGGCCAGCAGTGTCCTCAGGCACCAGCTCCTTCAGCCCCGGCTTTTCTTTATCCCCCACCCCTGGCGGCCTCTTTGGCTCGTCTTCTTCTTCTGGAGGGTTTGGTGTGTTTGGCGCAACAACGTCGGCTGCTCCATTTGGCAGCAGTCTCTTTGGAGGGTCTTCCTCAGCTTCAGCCTTTGGAGCAAGCACAGGGTTCGGGGGGGGCAAGCCTTTCTCTTCCCAACCGTTTGGGGGTGGGGGTGGGCTGTTTGGGGCATCCTCCCCTGGATTTGGGGGGGCATGGGGAACTGGGGTGGGTGGCTTTGGGGCATCCGATCCGGGATCAGCGAGGCAGAGGACCAAGAATACGGGGGCGGGCAGGCGAAGGTGAAATGCAACGGCTGGGAACCACGGAGATGGGTGGGGTGGTTTGGGTGGGGTGGGTGGGGCCCATGTATTTTTCGGCGTAGGCTTTGCGGGGAATTGACACACCAGAACGGGCGGCGGAATCATAGCTGGGGAGGCAATTTTGTGGACTGTGGCTATGTATTGCGTCGACAGCGCCCATTTGCTGTGTCTGAATTGAATCTGTGCATGGTTGTGAGTGTGTAGATGTTGTGAATTTCGTGCGTGCAGCATGTGTGTCCCTCTGGGAAAGGACGACATGACATGATAATTGTTGATTTGTCTGTTGCCTTTTTTGATCTGTGGCTGTCATGTGATTTGGAAATTCTTCTACCCCCAACTACATTGCCAATTGCGACTGACCCAAGGAAAAGTTTTAAGATATCATTCATTCAGGAAACATTGCATATCAAGGCGAGGAGATAGCCAAGAGCTCCCTATTTTGCCCCGACAAAATGGCTATCTTCTCGCTTTGATATGTAATGCGTCTCGGACCCGAGAAAAGTAGTGTCCACGATTTTTTCATTGAATTCAAGGTATTGAGCAAAGGAAATCCAAAAGCCGTCATTTCCTAATTCCTAGAATTGACTGTCAATGACGCTACAGTGAAACAACGTTTGCGCCAGTTGGCGAGCGGGAACAGAAGCAGAATATGTCGGGAAAGCTCCGTTGGTGTCGATGTGCACAACTGCAGGCACGGCAGTGAGAAAAAATGTCGCACAGGTTCGGGAGCGGACGTCATGAGCACAATTGGTTTGAGAGAATCTCGGAACTGGGGAATAGGGAATCACATCGCTTTCAAGCCCCATGCAGCAATCGTTCCGTCATGCGGCCAATTCTCTTCGCACCCAGCTTGCCCTGGCTTAGTCTACCTCCCTTTCAATTATTATGTGCTGGTGGTCAGAGACACAGTACACTCGATGCACAATCGGACTGGAATTTGCTATGTCCGTGGACCAGTCTCGATGCTTGTGCAACCCTGGTCATGGTGCTGCTCACGGATGTTGCAGAAGGCCAGGACCACGATGAACACCGCAACAACTCTGCAGACTTAGGTCAACGCCCTGCTGCGCAAGAAGGCCATATGCGCACCCCTGCTACGTGCAGCCATGCTCTGAAAGCTGATCAGGGACGTTCCTGCCCAAGAAATCACAAACCCACCGAGACGTTCAAGCGATCGAGAAAGCTCTGTTCCTGAGCGTGAACTCGGCCTCGCAAGCTCCGCCCTTCAGCGGGAAGATGGGGAAGTCACACGTGAAGGTGTATGTCCGGACACGTCCCACAGCGAACCCCTACGATGGATTCAGGTACTTGAAGAAGAGAGTGGAAGGAAGGCTGCAATCCCCCAATATCACCAAAGCGCTGGTGCAATGGGGAAGGCCGTTCTTTTCTGCTCCTGTCCTTAATGAAAGCCGTTGTAGAAAATTCGACACAACCACTGAAAAGGCCCCATCCTCGATGTCGACACGATGCTGGAGCTGCTGTAACTCAGGGCACTTTTCGTACATTTTAGGCATCAAATATGTGGCCACGAGTCACCGGGGCTACTGTTAGAATGCGCACGGTCTATCCATGACATCACCGATGGTCGCTGGAGCTCCATCTACTATGTTCAGGCTGGAAATCCGGCTCTGTCCGTCGACGTACTTTGTGCCATAAATGCTGTGAAACGTTTGCTTCTTGTTTAGCGAACTCTCAGCTGGGACGACGTGTTTCAGTGCAGCGCTTTTGCACCTAACTAGAAGCCGCCAAAGAGGGTGAATGGTGAGATGGCGGTTTTTGAAAGACTAAGCTAAACTGAAGCGAACCAACTGAATCGGTGAACAACTTGTTGGCGATCCAGGATGCTTCCGGATGGTGCCTCTGTCGTCGTCGATCTTCAAAAGAGCGAGGGGGGCGGGCTTGTCAACAACCAGCTGGGCAGCTTGAGTTTCAAGGTGCGGCGCATGTCAACGGGCTTCGAAGGGAAGGGGTGCACGGCATTGGGGGAGGCTTGGCAACAGCACAATCAACAACGTGGACTCGCTGGCATGAGGAAGTGCTTCTGTTGCAGCGGCTGCGTTTTGATTTTATGTTAAGAGATGGCAGAAAGCGACGTGGCGATAGGCGGCACGGTGAACTGAAACAATGTTGCAGTGGCTGTGATCATACGTTTCGCGTCATGAATCTGCCCCCTGCTGCCTACTTCAGTTTGATGGGCTGATGGACGGAGTGAGCCAGGAGGGGATTTACACTTCATGCGCACATGAGGTTGTGGAAAGCGTGCTGGCAGGGTACAATGGGACAATATTCTGCTATGGCCAGGTAAGAACCCGGCGCTCTTTTCTGAAAAAGAGTTACCATTGGGAAATATTCCCTGCAAAATAGTGTGAATTTGAGCTCTGTGATCCAACAATGGTTGATCGCGCGGTGGGCCTGTGCATGCACGCATCAATTTCCCTGCTCTCTACCTCGGTAGAGGCATCCATAAGCTGATCCCGGTAAAACTTCCACTGCCGCGGTCACACTCAACCGTCAAGGAGCCTTTCTACTACGGCAGCCTTGGCACCATTTGAGGCAATGATGCTACTGGCATCAGGGCTGTGCGCTCACGACTGAGAATATGACGCATTGCGAAGGACGCGCTGACAACCCGGTTAAGATTCCGGGCACTGATTCTACAAACGCGTTTGCTTTTGACCTCCCTTGTCTGTTGATCAATCTTGCGCTTGTGCACGCAATGGGGAAGATTGCAACAACGGATGAACCGATTTCGAGATTTTCACTGGAATGTTCTGCATAGACAGGAGCAGGAAAAACCTTCACCATGGCGGGGGATTGCTCCAGCTATCCTCAGCGAGGAATTATCCCGAGAGCAATCCATCATATCTTCAGGGAAATAGATCTCCGCGTGGATCGCATATACAAGGTCCAGGCGTCCTATTTGGAGATTTACAACGAAGGTCTTTATGACCTGCTCTCCGACAGCCCTGGGGCCGTTGACAATCTGAGCATCCTGGAAGAGAACAACACTACCTTGGTAACGCAAACACGGCAGCAAAACTTGCATGATTCCTTGAATATGGCGCATAAGAATTGCACATTTTTAGCCAAAAGCAGTTTTTATTCTACGGCATTAAGGCACACAAACCTGCACCGCCCAGTAAGGCATCAGTTCCTGCAATCACGGCCATATTTTCTGACAAGACGAGGGCAGCCGAGATGGGTTTTCGTGTTGTAACTTATGACCACTCCTGTGCAAATTGTCACTGTCCTCAATATACGGTTTGAAACAATTAAATGTCGTGATGCTGCACAACGCATTTGCGGCGTTTCTGCCATGCAAGCAGTGCCAAAGTTCTGCAACTTGAAAGGGAAAAAGTCAGCTGGAGCTGGATACTTCGAGTTCCCTGAAGGAAAATACGTTTGCCCTCCTGTTCAGAAGCAACTTGGAAGTCCTCTTCTTGCCGCAGGTCAAGGGACTGACTAAGAAGCAAGTCCGCAGTGAGGAAGAGGCTCTGGCTGCGTTCTTTCTTGGAGATCAAGGACGCTCCGTATCAAATCACGTCCTCAACTCCAGCTCAAGTCGCTCCCACTGCATATTCACAATTCACGTAGAAATCAGGTCCAGCGAAGACGCGAACGAGCGAGCAATTCTGTCAAAAATAAACCTTGTTGACTTGGCGGGATCGGAGAGGACGAAAAAGACAGGGGTGACTGGTGCGCCATGGAATCGGTGATTGGCTAAATTGCGTGCTCCTTTTCCAAAAATCTAAAAACTGTGATCTGCACGGCTTCAAAGCCTATCAATGACAACGAAAAATCATATACCAATATATCTGTGAACATTTTCGTTTTTCCGGCCTCTGAACTTCCCAACGGAACGAATTTCACGTTCAGCATAACAGCCATGACAAATTCGGATGCCATTTTGGATAGCAGGAGCCAACTTCCAACGCCTTGTATTGCGCAAACCGTGGTGATTCACTGCGGCAACATTCGTTGCAGGGCAGACTCTCCAGGAAGCAAATTTTATCAACAGATCTCTCACGTTCCTGGAGCAAACAGTGAATGCGCTGAGCAGAAGAGACCGCCACATTCCCTACCGGCAGACCAAGCTCACCGCCGTTCTTAGAGACGCCCTGGGAGGAAACTGCAAAACGGTAACATGTTGCTCAATATTTGAAGATGTACGCATCTTCATGCAAAGTACATTTTGCTTGCATGCAAGCATTTCAACATTTGCAATGTCAATCCTACTTGCATATCTGCTTTGGGCCGTTGGTTGCGCGGTGTGAGTTTCACCTACTGGAATATGCAGACCGCAAATCAATGGTGCATGTTCCACTGAGCAGCGCTACTACGTTCCGCAGCGCAGAATTAGTCGTATATGCCCAATGCACACAAAACGGAACACCCTTTTGTGGCTTTATGGATCCACGCACTTGCTGCCACCGCGAACTAAAGCCTATAAAAGTTCGCGAGGGCGCCGGCTGAAATGAAGCCGCACATATGTGCATTCAGATGGTCGCCTGGCATATCGATGGGACGGCGCGAGCGTGGCCGGTCATGCAAGATCACTCCGGAAGTGGATTGTTCAGGTGATGATCTCCAACGTGTGGAGCGAGGCCGAGCACCTCCTGGAAACAATTTCCACGCTTCGCTTTGCTTCAAGAGTGAGGACCCTGACCACCGACCCCTCCATAACGGAGAGCACGGACCCCGCTCTGCTGTTGAAGAAGTACGAGAGGCAGATCCGCGAGCTCAAGCAGGAGTTGTCCATGAGAGATGCACTGAGGTAACAGCGCAATGTCAACCTGATAGCAGTCAATTGGCGAGAAGAACCGCTCCTCCTACGACTTCAAGGCGACGGCGGGCGTGATGCCACTCACTGGCGCTGCATAGTACTGGGCGCAGTTATGCTCTTTTGCGCGATGCCGGCATCTTGGCGATTCAGATCATCTGGCAATGTTTTGTAGGGAAAAGCTTGATATGTGAAATGGCGTTCTGGACACATCTCTGATAGCTGCAACACTCAGACATCGACGGGGACACGAAAATCACGTCATACACGCCCAATGGCGAATTGCTCTGATGAATACGACAGGCGCATGAACATTCTTTGACCTCCAATCAATTGGAGTCGTTCGTGCTTGCAAAGCCCTCAAGAGCTCAAAAAGTCAGAACTGTAGTATCGACAAAAGGACACAGATAGTTAATTCACGCACCCAACGCTGCTGGCCTTTACAGTGGGAGGAGCAGGATAAGTTACGACGACATGAGCTCTGGCGACATTCGAGACCTCAACGAATTGGCTCGGAGGTTCCTGTGCAGCGAGGCAGACGTGGACGAAATTCCACTGGACACAATAAAACAGATCAAGGAGGCGTTTCGACAGATGCGCTGCGTGCACCAAATGACGCGTGGGGAAATGCAGCAAGAGCTAAATGAACAGCTCAAGATTAACGCCGATCAAATCAGGGTGGGCACCTGGCGTAGCTCTTGCATAGGACGGCTTGTGTTTGCAAACTGCCTTCATATGAGTTCACATCGAAAATGACGAAACGTAGGTCCTCAACATCAATGGCTGCGCAATGAAGGAGGGAGTCGAGAGCATTTCAAGCTTCGGCACCACTGCACCGCTGTAATACCGACTGTGCCAAGGTGTCATTTCAAGCCGCATAATGCTCCGCGGATGAAGGGGACACAAAATCCATCCAGGAAAAAAAAATGCGGACACCATGTGCACAGCGATTGAACACCGCCGCACCTCAAGCCATCGCGCTCAGAGCCCAATTCTTGCATTATTTAAGTAAGATCCTCATTCTGCGTGTTGGCCTTGTACTATAGAACCAGTGTGCAAGTGGACACCTGACGAGCGGCACAAAACCGACAGGACTGAACCTTCAATACGACGAAGCGTTGTGTCACCCGTACTGGTGTCACAAGAAACCGTGGGCGTCACTTGCTTTCGCAGGAGGCCGCCAGAAGGCTGTCTGAAGAAGGGGACGCCGTGGGCGAGGTGGAGAGGGACGCCGCGACGGGATTCCACATCGGTGAGGCGCCGGCCCAGGCCCGGCCAGTCACGGTGGACACCGACAAGCTGCAACAGGAGCGCGAGTCCGCCGCTCCGGTGGCCCCCTCCCCCGTCTCCCTGTCCACGTCCAGGACGTTCGCAAGCGCCAAGCTCGAGGTCGGCCTGGACAAGAACGTGTCCTATGTCAACTACATCACCAGGTCGAGCGAGGGCGTGGCGAAGAACGCAGTGCTCAAGGAGCGGCAGGGGGAGCTGAGGGAGCAAAGGGCGTCCATAAGGGTGGGGCGAATATACGGCCGTCCTGGATCGACGTGGCGTTGCCAGAAGGACTTTGCTTGCAAGTGCAGCGAGCTTGCACCGCCTGTTCCAGTTCATTTTCTGTACTGAACAACAATGAACTACCTCAATTAGAGCATACTGTGGGAGGAATTTGAGCTACGGCCACGCTACACGTGTGACAAGGTGTGGAAACGAACACTAGAACGATACTTAATCTAGAACGACATTGCTTATGTACAGTATACACCACTGCCTGGGGTAGTGCGGCAGGCAGATAGATCGGCACACCAGGCCTATTGTGCTCTTTGGATTCACTCATCCCCCGCATGAAAGCATATTCTGAAAAGACAAATGCGCGCACTCAAATGAACAGAAAGTGGGCGCCCTGGTCAACGCAGCAAAGAAGGAAATAGACGACTTGAACGCCAGACTCGAGCTCAAGAAGGCTGAGCGCCCAGCCGACAGCGAAATTCTGGTGGACGAAGAGTATCAGATCATTGGGGAGTTGAAAATCGCAAAGAAGAAGTACCACGAGAACTTCGACAGGCTCAAGGAGCTCCGGGATGAAATGAAGCCGTTGCTGCAGAGCGTGGCGGAGGCGCAGCACGCAGTCATAGAATGCTTCAGGTCCTACCACGCTGCAGGCGAAGGCGCTGCTGAGGTGAACAAGCCATCTGGATTTCATAGCAAGATCGCAAACAGCGCTGGGCGGCATTGTCCTTGACCAATCTAGCATGTGTACCGTATGCTGGGTACTACACTCCTGACCGAGAATGTTATGCTACAGCGGGTATTCTTTCCGTGTAAAACGAAAGTCGACTCATCAATATTCGAGTGCGACAAGGAAGCATGGTACCTGAAACCGATATTGTCCCATTGGCCCATCGTTGTGATATGCTCAGGCTTAGATCAGGCGGGTGGCCCTCCCAGAACTCAGCCGCACTCAGTGTGTGTCCTTCCGGCATCATTTCTGACCTGTGGGAACAAATTCAACTGATGCGAACTTCACTCTGGCTTTGTGCACTTTGGCAACGACCGCCCGGCGCGCTTGAAGCCAAGAAGGGCACGGACGCCGCTCAACGGTATTCTGCAGTGACAGACGCTGTGCCGTCGGTGCCAGGAATCCGACGGCGATGGAGAACAGTTGGACGCCGCAGAGGAGTTTGAAAGGCTTGAAATGGGTAGGATAATGGCTGTCGATCCCGACAGCTGCGCCTTCTTCTCCGCCAGAAAGCTCTCCAAGCAAATTTCCCGAGGCCGGCCCCACGGCTACGACAAAGGGCATATTGGCGCCCTGAAGAAGCATGCCAGCAGATCGGCAAGCCGCGCATGAAACCGGCATTTATGAGCTCTTCTTTCCAAACATACTCCAGGAGGAGGTGCATTTTGCTGTTTGGAAATGGGAACAACGTGATATCGTGCGTTGTTTTAAAGGAGCTCTGGCGGCCAATTTGCGCCCAGCGGTGAAAATGACGGCAGGAATACCTGATGGGCAAGCGGCCACTCAAAGCGGCGGCCCACAGGAATTCCGATTGTACAATCCGTCCGTGCTGCTCCAAACATGGAAGTCGCGCCAAAATGTAAGATTATGGCAGGACAATCTTTGTGGGGATGTTGATAGGGGAGGGTGATCAGGAGCAGCTTCCAAGAACATGCGCACTGATTGAGACAAGTGCGCAGGGGCAAATTGCACCTGCGTCGTTCGGAACCTTGCCAACAGAGGCGCCATCGTGCGCATGTCAGGTGCTGAACATGTTCCAGACTTTACCCTGAAGCGCATGTTGAATCCAGGGCGCCATCCGCCTGGGTGGAGCGGACAAAAATTTGAGATTGTGAGTCCCAATTTGTGATATAATCAGATTTGGTAGGACTTCCACCGCTCTAAAGAAACGTTTGGAGAAACTGTGTTAAAGTGTTTCGCGGGTGCATGCATCAGAAATGCAGGGGACCAGTGCACCATGCGGAAGCAGATGAACCCATAGGTATTCAAGATTGCATTGATCCGCAGATGTAAGAAGGCAAATGTGGTTTTCACTTTTTGAGTTTTCCATCCTGATTCATCAGCATCACTATCAATGCAGGAGATAATAGGCAACGAACACTGCTGCAGCAGCGCAACAAACAGATGCTGCTTGTCAATTAAGACAGCATGGCACGGGTCAGGCCAAGGACATTGGACCTGAACGCTCCTTCAAAGTAGCGTTTCCTTGCCATTTGCATGTCTTCCGAAAGCGATGCTGACGTTCCTTGGTGTTGCGGCCGTCCATCTTATCCGCCAGTCCGTCATAGTATCCTTCACTGTCCAGAGCTTTGTGTAATGCACACAAGCACGTGCCTGTTTCTGCCCTGCTGCCTACCTCCATTGCAAAGCTACCATGTGGCCTTACACTGTACGCGGCTATCTGTAAGCACGCCGCAATTGTCTACAGTGGGGCTCATCCAGTGTGGAAGTTCTTTATGGTGAGCTTCCAGCAGAGGAAGGGCAGATGATGACAACAAATATTATCGGGGAAGGCGTCAGTGCCAATCATTCGGATTCAGCGCCATGAGATGACACCAACACCAACAGCGTGCGCATCTCAATACAGTTACAAGTGCCGAGCCAAGAACATACTCACCACCTTCCTCACACTAGCTTCCCTAATCAGCAATGACTGTAGCTTTGGGAACAATAGTTGGTCCCACCACCAGCCAGGGTGTGCAAAGCCAGCGCCACACTGCACCAGGACCGTCTAGCAGCCACCCTGGCGTAAAACTCGGACGGCGGCTGGAAACTGGATTGCCCGCTCCTGAACACTGGACGTCTCAGGTCGATGTCGAGCTGCCCAAAGCAGGATCCTGGATGACTTGCGGTTTGAAATCAGGAGAGCAGTAACGTTTCAATAACTCGGCATAAACGCCATACCGTGCAGTCATGCGAAATCCCCACGAGTCGCTAACCTGTTAAGCACACAGGACAAGCTGTGGCTGACACTCACGATGTTTTTGCCGTTGCCAAGCACAGTGAGGTTGTTGTCACATCGACACTGTCTAAGCATCGTGGGGCCGGAAGGGACACGAGCCAGGACAAGTGCGCTGCTTTCCATGTTGCCTGTAAGGATACGTTCATTCGTTCGTGATATTCTGAGTTTTCCTCTTCATGAAAGCGCTGCTGAACGAGTCGGTCCTTGAGGACGAGAACAGCATTTGGCATCCCCAGATGGTCCAAGGGTAGCGAATTGTTTCGCGAACTACCACTATCTGCATTGATAATAATACCAACTTCAGTACACAGGAGAATGATTCTGACACACAATATTTAACGAATGCAGCAACTGTAGATTTGTGCTACAGAGCAGTTGCCCCACCCCACAGAGCACAAATTGACTTTATGCATACCATCAGCCCCCTCCAGAGCTAGTATGTGTTCAACTGTTTTAAGTTACAGAAAATTGCATGTCTCCAATGTACTGCACATCAAGATGGGACCAATCTATATAGTATTGCCTTATCTCTATCCTTGTCCACATGTCTGCCGGGGCAATGCACTTCTCTGAAATGCGATTGGCTGCACTTACAAGGGTCCATTGAGACCAAAGGATCCTCTCATACCTGTCGGCACAAATTGAGGTCGCATTCGGCAACCAGCAGTCCATCCTTGTTTCTCGCTAATGAAGGTGTGCGACTAGCATCTGGCGCCGCAACGTAGCTGCTACCATAAAAATGGCCAAAGTCCTGGCACAACGCCGCTATACTGTCAGCCATGTGCCTACCACAATATGGAGAAAAATGGCGCCGAGGTGGGGATTCGATTCGACAGCTTTGTTCCATCGAGCTTGCGGCGCACACAGTCAACACAATTGATCTTGGTGGCCATATAATCTAATCGCAATGACCTGTACATGTCAGGAAGGGACAGTTGTGGCATCGAGGTTGCTGTGGCAGTGAATGAAAGTCCAGGACCTGCTGATAATAAAGCCATCTCTCGAAAACGAGTGCAACGTGTCCTACAAAGGGCAACCCACTGAGGGCTTTGTTCAGACTGGGAGGGCACCCGAACACTGAATGTGATTGTACTTCTGGGGAGAGAAATTCGGACCACAAGAGGTGCTGAGCAGGTGTACACAAGACTCTTTTCTGCAGTGCAGAAGATGATGCAGTAGCCTCATAGAAACAGAAAGAATTCTCACATACTATATGTATTAGAGAAAGGACAGATGTGTCGTACAAAACTCACACCCTCCTGAGCAAGAAAGGTGTGATTCCTTTCCATACCATGAAGGACGATGTACAGTCTCTGACTGCTGTGCAAAAACACCAGTCTGCGGGTGCACTGTACACAGTAATACATACTCACACTATGCCCAATACAGCCTTCGTTGTGCCTCAGTTGGGCCTGAATGCACTCCAGTGCATGTTTGTGGCACTTGCACACCCTAACAGAAACACATGCCACACCAAGCGAAATTTGGGAATATGCTGATATGCAACATCTCTGCATGCCCAAAGCACATATCCAAGCAATACCTGGTGAGGACACAACACAACATAGTCCTCCACACTGTTGTTGGGCATTGCTGGGTGCACGTGCCATAGCCGCGAACTGCAAGTTACCTTGTGGGCAGGCTTGCCATCCCCTGAGGTGAATTCGTTAGGGAATGTTTCGGTCCCCACACGGTTGATGGCGCCAACAAAATAGCTGTTGGCGATTGCAGCATTCCTGGCCTCAATGCTCCACATGGGCTCACTCAAAGCACCAACTGTGGCAGAAGGGTTGAACACGATCTCGGCCCCATTGAGTCCGAATGCCATCCTGCAACCATCACACACAGAAAAATCCAGCAGCTGTCATCCTGCTTGTGATTCTGCTCACACTAATTATGTCCATTAGTGCATCATAGTTCTCAAAACCAGGAAATAAACAATATCAAGCATGTCATCACTGACCATTAAACGAATGGACATGCTTTGCACAAAGGTGCAGGCCTGTTCCCCTTACAGTGGAAGATTGCCGCTCTCTGAGACGCTTTACCATCTCCCTATTAGATAATCAGGGGTCTCCAAGAGTAGGCACCTCTGAACGCAGCCCATGAGTCCAGACCACGGGGTTAGGCCACAGGCCTGCACTTTTGACACTACACACCACCAAATACCAAGAAATATCTGTTGTACACTAGAGACCTTGCACCCCCCAAACTGTGCCCCACCGCTATTGCTTGGGAGAGGACTGTCAAAGATCCTTTTCCTCAAGTTGCCAAACAGACAGGCAGGCTCCTTTCAAATCACATTTTCAGCCACTGTTAGAGGAAAAAACATTCCATAGAATGAGCAACCCCTGGTTGAGGCGGATCTGTAGATGGATCAATTGGGGAGGCTACCATGTTTCCAAGCCGATGCGGTCGTCTGCACAGGTAGCATGAAAAGAATGCCACAACGGCAACAGTCACAAAAGGTATGATGTGCCTCCAGTCATTGACAAGGCATGCGGAGTTTGGGCACTCACATGCAGAACTTCACTACCCATGGACACAACTCGAATGAGTGAGTACATGGAACATGCGTCCAGGAAGCAATCAAAAGGCTCCAGATCATATTGTACTGTGTATGTTGTTCTTTGTATTGCAATATTGTATTATATATGCTGCACTGCATTTGTTGTATGAAAAGACTGTCCATGGGGGCTGCACTTGGTCTCACCAATTCTGGGGATGATGTCGGCCATAACAGATGTTGATGCCGATCTTGCCAAACGCGGTTTGAAAGACGGGGTGGCCAGTGTCGCCCTCCATGTAGTATGTTGACTCGTTGAAATCACCCACACGAGGTATGTGGTTCTGACATCGCACCAGCAATGGGAGGCATGACTACAAGCTGTGACCAAAAATGCTGCCTTCTGCTCAATCTGGACTACAGTTGGAATGGAAACATGATTACGATTCTACCAGTTTTGTGTTTACCAAGGCCATCCATTGGTGGACAGCGGCGAACTTATGCAAGTGAGATCGGAGGCTGCGTACATATTTGGAGATCGTCTAGCCTGACATGGAGTAAAACACTTCCCAATGACGACAGTCCATTTGCTGGATTCACGGCAACAACAATAGCAAGCCATTCCTCAATCTCTCGCACTTTTGGCCTGCTAGCCAACCCTTTTTGCTCCTTCCACCACCTTCCACTTCCTGTCAGGAAGGAATTCACATATTTTTGTATCAGGAGGGGTTGGCACTTGACCACTCGGCTGTGCCCTAACGTTTTGGAAGATGGGACAAGGATATAGCAAAACCCACCTTCCTGTGCTTCCCAATGACGTTTCCCTTGTTGCCCACCACAACAGCAGTGTTCCACAGCACGCCCCCATGCACACTGTCCCTTTCCAGAATGGGTGACACGATGACCATGTTCCACTTGCGAGCCAGCTCTTGGCAAAGTGCCACAGACGAGCTGCCCTCAACGTCTTCGGCGAACTGGCACCAGCGCTTCTCGCGTGTGCAGAAGGCAAATGGCATGCTCCACGCCTCTTGCAAGCACAGCACGTTCACCCCCAAGGTCCCTGCTGTATCGATCAGCTCCCCAACCTTGGCCATGATTGCCTGTGGCAGTGGAGATCAGACCGCGTGCTGGTTTCAGGGGTGGAAAGGAACAACAAACCTGATGCAAGCTTGTGCTTGCGGAATGTGCAGCATTGCCAAACATTGTGGAGCAACAATGATTTGCCATGTTCAAACATCCACAAGCAACGTGGAACTTGGCTTCAAGAAAATATGTTGGCAGTGGTCACGCTGGCTGCTGGACGAACACAGCTTTGTGATGGTGGGTTGCTGCAGCACAAACCTGATCGCCAAATCTGTTAAATTCAACAATAGCTGCACCACAGAAAGTTTATGGAAGAATAAAGTGAAGGCCGCAAGATCGAAGATCAGCAGCAAACAAGGACTCAGTGCAGATATTGCCAGCACTGATGCCAGTGGACTCCTACATAGATACTCACTGTAAACCGGGTGGAATACAGTGCTGCTACAAGCGCAGCATAACGAGCATAAGAAAAGGAAGAATAAGGAAAAAATAAAACCGACTGGCATTTGATAGTGTGGCTCTCTTCTTCCATGCAAAGCGAAGTGTGGTGCTGTGATGACTGTCATCGATGTGCTGAAGTTGCCTGTGGAGGTGTGGTGTTCTGTTCCATGTTTAGGTGGGTTGTAGCTATCATCTCCACAGAACTAAAATCTTTTCTATTCAGCTGACCCCCAACCCAGTCTCAGAGTGTCTCAGCACTACTGGAAGCTGACCATAGTCAACATACAGCTTTAACTATGTTCAATTCAGGTCCTCATCTTGACAGATAACCTCGGGATCACACCAGCAAGCCAATTCTCCGTGTCTTTCGTGTGCTGCTTCAGCAGCAAGGAAGCATCCCGGTCCGCAAATGGTTGACAATCAGTTGATCTAGTCTTTCAAGCCAGCTTCATCCATAACTCGCTGCAAGAATACCTTGAGCTGAACATCAAAGGGCTCATCTGTAGATTGGCAGATACTGTTCTGAATGAGCCCAATCTTGACAATCCTTGGTGGTCGGAATTCCTCCAACGCAGCACCAAACGCAAATGCTTGCAGGTCGAATCCCTTCTGCACGGCCGCTGCCTTCAGTACCCCATCGATAGCCAATTGGCGAACAGCCGCTCCCATGTTGGATCCATGCAGGACGCGCAGAACCTCTGGCAATTTGTCTTCTGGCACATAGTGCTGCTCATCAACACAACCTGGTCTCAACATGGCGATGTATGGACACAGGATTGTCCACAGGATTCGTCCATATAAATGTACTGCATCCGTGAGAAAGTCCACCAAGTGGACCCTTCCTGTAGACACCCGACCGCTCGCCAGGACCACCACCGGAATGCAAGGCTTCCGTCAGATGCTGATTAACAGACTTCCCGCAATCGCCTTCGAATGAGGCTGAACTCGGTGTGCGCAGGCGTGGTCAGTTGCCACCACATCAGGGCAGTCCTCTCTGTCGTCACAATACGAAAAAATGTGCGCAAAACCATTTTCCTCACAAAAAGCAGGCCCAACATATGACAGGTCTCCAGTATCTGCGTGATCATCTTCGGAAAGATTCCGATTTCTCTATAAGTGTGCTTTCGTGCCTGCAACATGGCCTCCAACGATTCAAATCCGGCCAGAGTGCCATCGGCAGCACCGCGCACAGCATCCATCGATGTGCGCGGCACAGGTTCCCTCCAAACCTCCAGCAGTTCGCCCAGCGCTGGCTCGAGTCCGCGGGTTCCCCGTTGGCGCATGCTGTACCTTGTGGGACAAAAGACAGGGCAAGACAAAAAAGCACAGACCCTTCCTCACCCTCCCCAACAAAGAAAAAAAGTCTTCTTCAGACATTTCCCGCTTGCAAACCCGGTTTCAGCCCTATGCTGAACTGTGGACACATTGGCAACATGCGAAAGCCCTGGGCGCTCCTGGGGCCAGAGGCGTTCAGTTTGGGACAGGCCAACGTGCAGGGAGGCGGAGCGCAGCGGAATTATAGGCAATCTGGCCAACGTGCCACTGTCGCGTGAATCACGTCTGCGACCCGAACGACGACTCTCTGCCAGGGCGGTGTGACTGTTGGGACTCCTTGGTGCTTTTGCCGCACGTTGCGGGCTGCCCACGTGCGATGTGGGCATGCAACCAGCTATTGTGACTGGCAAGTCCCGCGCAAGCGCAGCGAGGTGCATCGTTGCCGAATGGCACCTCGTTGATGACCATGATTGGCAACCAGAATGGTGAACATTGGGATCACAACATTGAGCAGAGTGTATGAGATTGCGAGTGCGGCGGCAGATTAAATGGTGGAGAATACAGGTGGCGTTGACAGCTTTTTGCAACTGTTTCAGGTGAGCTCCTTGGAATGCATTTGTAAGCATGGGCCTGACAAGCAATACCTTTGAATGGCCTTTGAACGTAGGATAACACCAAGCTACATTAGGTGTATACAGACCTTTACAGTGCATGGTTTTCTCAACATGGTGGGAAGCATTCCAAAACCACCCTGGAATTCCATAGTGGTGTGCCAGGTGTATGAGAACAATTGCAGTGAAAGCTCTACGCAATGAGTCGAGATGAGCTCACAGTTGCAATGCTTCTATTGCACATTTTTTTCTCTTTGCACCTCATTTGTAGGCCCCATACCTGTGGGTCACATCTTCTGGACAATCAACACACTTCCCACCATTGCCAACAATCATAACTACTTTCCATTTCACTGCACAATCTGCACTCTGTCACGTCACTAGATCGTTTGCTTTTGCCTAATTAAGGAAAATTTTCTTGTGGATCAACAGTGCAGCTAACGACCTACCATGAATGCCACACTATCACAGTGCACAATTGGGATGTAGTATACCATACAGTAATAAATTTCAACCTCTTTTTCTCACTTGTAGAAAATCCACCAATATGTGTCAGCGATGTTTGGACAGACAATAAGAGGGAAATCTATGACCCAGACTGTTCAACTTACCACAGTTGCAATGCAACTTTCCAATTTTATCAACAGCAGATGAAGTGCCCTTTTGGTCATCAAGTCCACAATGTTACGACTTGCGCACTACGGCAGTCAGTGGCTGTCTGCCATGCATGTCACAAGCTAGCTCCTGGGGTGCTCCAGCTGTTGGCTGCTATAACTCACTCTCATCTCATAACTACACCATTTATGTCTTTTCCTCCATAACTAGGCACCACCAAAGTAATTATCACGTGAACGAGGTTGTCTGCATCAATTGCAATCTTTACCACAGGCATGCTGTATCTACCATCAAGAACCACTTGTTGTAGCCCATTGCCACACAGCTTATGTCCTAGGGTGATATCACCATGACTCATCCTTTGCAAGACAAGCCCTTAGCATTCCGCTCACTACCTTTTGGGTCAAGGAGGGTGAGTCAGTATTGCACTCCATAATTTGGGTGACAAGCAGTTCTTCATTGTCCTCTGGATATGCCAATTGCAATAGCTGATTTATGTATTGCTCATTGGTATGGTAGCCTGGTCCCGCACAAGACTTACACATGGAGAATGGGAATCGGGGGTATGACAGCAAAAATGCTATGCTCTGATGTTGGTGGTGTGCACCCTACATCATTGAAGATATGTACCAGTGCACTCAGGGAAACCGTGAGAGCCATGTCCAGTATTTTTTTTATATGCATGGAGCAATTGATAACCAGATAACCCTGTAGTTCTGGTGAATTTGTGAGGTACATGTACTCCAATATGCATTGGTTCGATCCAACTGTGTTGGATGCCAATCTGGCTATTCCCATGCTTTCATTGTATGTAGTTGGGGTCGTCTTGACTGCTGCATGCATGGCATATTCAATGTGTCTCTTTGGCTTCTAGAAATGATGATGGCACATACCTTCATGTTGCTGGCCAAAGGCCACTCTGCGTTTTGTGGCAATGGCTTGCTCTAATGGATATTCTTTTGTGAAAATTTCATTGTCCCGATGGCCATTATCACATGATGGGGTGTAATAGGCGCATTGGCGTCAGACAAGAAAGAGCAAACCCAAGATTTGATTGGCCAATCAAAAGTTTGCTACATTTTGTCTGTTACAAACATAAATCCAATGCTGGTTTGGGCTGGAGGTCGCATTGCTGCAGGCTGCCAAATTGAGTTCTGGCACTCCTTATATACCTGGTCCAGAGCCCCAAACTTCCCACTCATATTCACAGGAATACCCTCTACATATATGCTAAGAATTCCAAGCGTACTTTCAATATATGCTCATACCTTGTGAATACTCATGTAGATACCTACTAAACACCCATAAATCATTCTGTCAGAAAATATTAATGACCACAAATCCGAACTAACTATCATCAAACCCTTATTCAAGGGAATCATTGAAGCATCTTCACACTAAACTTCATAAAAAGTATGCATATATCTTTGGAACATTCCTCCGCCTCATTCTTAGACGAAAATAGGGCCTCACCTTATTTACACCCTTGAATTCTGCCCCCCTCCTTTCACAGCAACCAATTTGAACCCCAGTTCATGCGCCTCATCCCATCCAACAAGAGCTTCCACTCCCTCTGGTTCTATGCCTTTAGTGTTCGCCTCCCAGGCAGCTTGTGCAGCCCTTCTTGTTGCATTCTCCTCCAACCTTCTCCTCAAGCCCCTCTTTTTAGTAGTGTTGTCATACTTTTTCTTGTGGTTGATCTTCTACCACTCCATAGAGATAGATAAAATTTGAGAGTGGCTCAAGAGGGCTTGTTGCCGTATTTCTGCCTCCACTCTTTGCATGGTACACAACAGGTCTTGAATAGTTCTGGCATAATCCCACATGTGCAGGGTATTAACATGCCCATCCTCCTCGCAGTTGATGTTTATTGAGTTGCATCAATGGGTTGCCATATCCTTGGGCGTCCGATTGTTGAGCAAGAAGAGCTGAAATGACAATGGCGTCATTCAAGGCCCCATGTCCGCTAAAGCTAGATTGCCAAGTTGCGAATAGAAAAGGCACTCTCAACTTTGCATGGCTTGGCTACATATCACACAATTTTCCTACGCTACAAACAGACTTCTATCTTCCTTAGATCCCCTCAGACCATCCATTATATACAGAATAATTTTGATTGCAATGACGTTTTGAGCCATGTAGTAGATGATGCCGGTGGCACAACTTACATTGGCCGGTATTACAATAAAACAATTGTACATTAGCATTTGTACATTATATATTTCATTATACATGATTGTACGTTGATTTACAGGTTAAGTGTGCGCGGAGCACACTTTGTAACGTCTCTCGTTGGGTTTCATACTCTCTCACACGTAGTCCCCGCGTGGTCCTCGCTAGGACCCGCATCAGTAGATGTAAGACCAACCTTGAAAATTCTAATTTCTCATTCAAGTTCTGAAACCCTATTTTATTTTGTCTACTAACAAAGTCTCAGACACAATATTTCTTGTCATATAAGGAATATGATCTAATGATATCATTAAGCGGGCTTCAACTTGATTCCCTTTTCCATGCCTTGCTATTCCATAATATTGTTTCTGTTTTTGTGTGCTCTACATCGATCATCTCCTTTTTCCAGACTTGCAATGGTCGAATGGGCACTTAAATTAAAACCACCAAGCAACAAGGAGTACCAAAGCTCATTTTCTGCATGATTTTCACACTTTCTATGTAGTAATATAGAACTCCTCTTAATGCCTTGGGCCTACTATAGAATTGCACAATTATATGAATTGACAATATCAACCATTGAGAAAAGGAACAAGAGTGGTTTTGAGTACATTTTGCCAAGATGGAGCTTGAACCTAGAGGCCCCAACACACACTTGAAACCAGCAACCTACATCTCCATCTAGGGCTTTTGATATTGGTTCGATCATTCATTGATTCATTGTTTTCATCAAGACCTACACGTCCTTTTTGTCCACAAGCTTGGAGGTTTATTTAATACTATAGCATTGCTGTGAGCACATTTAATGTAATGCCATCTAGATTTTGCATCTTGTTTCCTTGATGTTGAAGATTCGATTTAGGTTGTAAACAATAGGGTTTTAGTTTATGTTCAAGTTTTGGATGAAACAATGCTCACAAGGCTGTATTTGGTATGAGCGATTGTCTGTTTAGGCACCCATTGCCATACTCCAACACCAATCCCAAATACTTGGCATCCCATAAAAATAATTTCAATCATATGTTTAGCAAGGTGCATCAATATCAGACCCTCAGCAATCTCCCTCGCCAATTACCAGGTTATGCCTGCACTTGCAAGCCATACGTGCCCTCTTTTGCATCTGTTGAAGGACGTCCCTTGTGATCGCCATTTTCTAGCCAATGGATCACAGTCCTTTTGAAACAAACTTCTTATACTTTCGTTCCTCACAATATCAACACGGTGACATGGCCTTCCTCTTCAGTCACACAGGACACAACCACAACACCCTCACAGGTTGCGATTCACCTGTTAACCCCACTTCTATCATGGAGCTCACAAATACAGCTCATTTTTTCAATCACCCAACACTATTCACCATGCATATCAACCACCCGCAGCCCAACCTTCGACCCACTCCTTCCCAACTATATCCGGCTGCCTCTTGGGTCAGGTCGTCGGTTTCCCAACACGTCGTCATCCTCCTTGGGGCTATTCGTGGTGGGCGATTGGAACCCTTGGTGGCGGGTGTTGTCCAAAAAGCGCCCTCTGCCGGTTTATATGCTCCAGCAGCTGGTCACAATGCTATTCCCTTCCGCCGTAGTCACGGTCGTCGATTGGAGCTCCAAGCT